AAAGATGTTGTGGCTCTACTCCCCACGGGCTCTGTTATAGGGCAAAGGAGATGGCTAAAGCTAGGCTACATGCTAAAGCTAGGCTAAATGCTAAAGGCCTCACTCACTCGGGCTCATTACATACGTCACAGTAAACTCAGATCCAATCGTTTCAATCTGCAAAAGGAGTTAGCCCCTCCCACCTGTTAACGGAGTCAATGGAGACAATCCAGACCTTAGTACTAATGAAATGAGTACAATGGTGCGATAAGACCAGGCTATCCTAGTTACTTTCTGAGTCACGAGTTAGTAAAAGGCCTCATTGGCTCTTCTCCTTTAGTCCTAGGTTTGGATTTCTGATGTGTGAGAGACATTCATGGGATTGATTGACATTACGACTTCATTTTACCCTCATCACTTAAACTTTATAGACTTCTTATCCTGCCCCATTTAGATTATTACTTATGCACGCCTTTTTGAGAGCCAAAGCCATTTCTTATCTGTGTTTACTCAGACGGCAATCAAAGGATTCTGATTCTGAAATGTACAGTACATAACGCCGTGCTCCGTTTGTGTATATATAATTTTTGAAAGACTGATTTTGAAGCATTTACAGCTAAGAAACATTGCTACTGTTTATTTTTACTGTTTACTTTTGGTGAATTTCCCAAGCGTCGGGTTAAATGATGTTGACCTCACGACAGGCTTCATACGTGGACCATACAGTGGCACGGTGGCTGAGTGGTTAGCAGTCTCGCTTCTCAGCAAGAAGGTCCTGGTTCTGAATCCCGGTCGGAACAGGGTCTTTCTGAGTGGAGTTCGCATGATCTCCCTGTGTCTGCGTAGGTTTCCTCCAGGTGCTCCAGTTTCCCCTACCACTAAAAACATGTACAATAGGTCTGAATGTAGATGAGTGAGTGGATGGTGTTTGGTCGGAGGCTTTGATGGACCAGTGTGTTCGGCGACTCGCTTCCGTCATCACCGTGTGGAGAGAATGGAACTATATCTGAACATCTGAGCATTGGCCTTTGAGCCAGAAGGTCGTGGGTTCGAGCCTGCCTCAAGACTTTCACCATCAACTCCTGCTTTCGTAGTGTCCTTGGGCAAGACACTTAACCTCTGGGAACACCAGCCACAGTGGGGCGGCTGCGAGTGTAAAGTCCTTAGGCAAGACACTTCCCCCACATTAGAATGAGTCTGGTGTGTGTGTGATGGTGGTGGTGGGAGGGGCCGATGGCACAGACTGGTTGCCTCGCTTCTGTCAGTGTGCCCCAGGGCAGCTGTGGCTACAATAGTAGTTTATCACCACTGTGTTTGGAGAGAATGAATAATGAAGTGAAGAGACTTATAATGTGAGAAGAGCTGTATAATATTAATTTGATGTTGGACTGGGCTCCTCTGGTGTTCAGGGACTTTAGGTGATGCTGTGTTTTATTCTGTCTCAGACGCCTCTCCTTTTCCTGTGTCACTTCCTAAAAGCCCATTGTCCGATTTCTTCTGAGTGTTTTTAGCCTGTGATGGTATTTCCTGCTTTGTTTGTTAACTAATAAAAATAATCCAGACGCAACAGTCGGTGACGTTCTGCTGGTGTGAGTCTAAGGCTTTTGTCTGAGTGTGATTTAAAACACGACTTAGTTCTGAGATAATTGTCTTTGTCCCACAGCCTGTATCGAACCACAACCGACTGTCGTTTTCTCATTACTAATAGGATATTTTCCTTTACATACTTTAAAGAGAGAGCCCTATATTTTGATATTTCATGTTTTGGCTTGAGAGTGGCTGAGTCCGGGTATGGAGTGGGAGATATGGCCTATAATTCATACTGCGGTATAATTTGGTGTGTGAATTTATAGGTCTGGCAGGTTCCTGCATAGAATAGTCAAGATTGTCACTTATTTTTATAGTAGAATCTAATATATATATTTTCTGTTTAAAAATCAGATGTGAGACAAATGTCATTTAAAAGACCATTTAAAAACATATGTATTCATTTTTAAACAAAAAAAAACTCACAAATGTTGAAATCAAAGCCTGTAGCAGTTAGACATGGTCATTATTTATAGTGTCTGAGAGTTTTGTGCAGGAACATGGCTTCAGTAAAACAAAACCGTGATAGAACCAAACTGCTATTGAGAGCGAGGAACTATGTTGTGGAAATGTTCTTAATGATCCATGGAAACAGATTTGCATTTTGTGTGGTTTAATGAAAGTAAAAAGTACACAATAAAAACAAGCATTTGCTGTGCTTGTGGAGAAAGCTTCTGCAGTCGCTCCTCAGACGCTGCATCAGTTTCTCTGACACACAGTGGGATTCACAGAAAGCTTTATCACGTACGGTACGGTCCGGTCCCTCATTGGCCTCAGGAAAAACACATGTCACACCTCTGCACTGATTACATGGAAATGGGAGACTCAAGGAAGAGCAGAGAAACAAGGGGTTAAGAAGGTCGAGAGGACAGAGGGACTGGACATCCAAGATCATATCATCCATGATCAGGGAAACAGTCATATCAAAGGAGACGGTAAACCCCTGTCTAATAACTAAACCCACAAACTGCATCTTAACTTACTCAAACATTGTCCAAATAACTTCCTGCCCCCAAACAAAACCCTCTGAATCATAACAATTCACCCACTCTGCTCAAACCTGCATGGCTGTTATGGCTGAGTGCTTGTTTTTGTTTCCAGATTTGTAAAGAATTGCTGTGATTATAGTTAGAATAGTGAAGTCCCTGATCTCTCTGTAAACTTGAATCCGCCTCCGCTCTCGGGTTAATGACCAGAGTGAGTGGCCGCGCCCTTTAACTGCCACTGCCGCTGTGATCCATATGTCCAGGCTGCTTCATTGTCCTTTGAAGAGGAATGGTTGGAATCTTGACGGAGCCGGTCTGGACGGTTTATCTTCTCCACATCTCCACCGGTCCCTCCCTTCTCTCTGTCGCTTTTGTGTTCACTGTAAATACACCGACTGGGGTGTTATGGACGACATTGGGAGGCACAGGAGTCGAACGAGCGGCTTATCCTTCACCTCTGGCAACTCTGTGAGCATTTTGTTAATAACTTTTAGATTTGATTTGTGTTTTTGTCCATTTGTCAAACCAGTCAAACAGGAAATCCAGCTTCTTCCTTTGCACCTGCTAAACTGGGCGGAGCTCAAGTGATGATGATGATGATGGTGATGATGATGATGATGAATGGATGAGCACTGGAACTCGCTCTGTGATTGTGAAAGTTGCACATGCACTTGGTAGTACCTAAGCAAGGCAGGGCAAGTTTATCTGTATAGCACAATTCATACACAAGGCAACTCAAAGTGCTGAACAAGATGGTAATAAAATGATAAATAATCACAGAACATTAAAAAGAAAGATAAAATATAAAATCTCTCAGTTGTAGCACAGCTAAACAGAACTGTCTTTAACCTGGTTTTAAACATTGTCAGAGAGGAGGCCTGTCTCACATCTTCAGGAAGACTGTTCCAGATTTTAGCAGCATGAATCTGAAAAGCAGCCTCCCCATGTTTAGTTCTGACTCTGGGCACTAACAGGAGTCCAGTCCCTGTGCTCCTCAGAGTCCCAGCAGGAGTCCAGTCCCTGTGCTCCTCAGAGTCCCAGCAGGAGTCCAGTCCCTGTGCTCCTCAGAGTCCCAGCAGGAGTCCAGTCCCTGTGCTCCTCAGAGTCCCAGCAGGAGTCCAGTCCCTGTGCTCCTCAGAGTCCCAGCAGGAGTCCAGTCCCTGTGCTCCTCAGAGTCCCAGCAGGAGTCCAGTCCCTGTGCTCCTCAGAGTCCCGGCAGGAGTCCAGTCCCTGTGCTCCTCAGAGTCCCAGCAGGAGTCCAGTCCCTGTGCTCCTCAGAGTCCCGGCAGGAGTCCAGTCCCTGTGCTCCTCAGAGTCCCGGCAGGAGTCCAGTCCCTGTGCTCCTCAGAGTCCCGGCAGGAGTCCAGTCCCTGTGCTCCTCAGAGTCCCGGCAGGAGTCCAGTCCCTGTGCTCCTCAGAGTCCCGGCAGGAGTCCAGTCCCTGTGCTCCTCAGAGTCCCGGCAGGAGTCCAGTCCCTGTGCTCCTCAGAGTCCCAGCAGGAGTCCAGTCCCTGTGCTCCTCAGAGTCCCAGCAGGAGTCCAGTCCCTGTGCTCCTCAGAGTCCCAGCAGGAGGCCAGTCCCTGTGCTCCTCAGTCCCAGCAGGAGTCCAGTCCCTGTGCTCCTCAGAGTCCCGGCAGGAGTCCAGTCCCTGTGCTCCTCAGAGTCCCGGCAGGAGTCCAGTCCCTGTGCTCCTCAGAGTCCCAGCAGGAGTCCAGTCCCTGTGCTCCTCAGAGTCCCAGCAGGAGTCCAGTCCCTGTGCTCCTCAGAGTCCCAGCAGGAGTCCAGTCCCTGTGCTCCTCAGAGTCCCAGCAGGAGTCCAGTCCCTGTGCTCCTCAGAGTCCCAGCAGGGGGCCAGTCCCTGTGCTCCTCAGTCCCAGCAGGAGTCCAGTCCCTGTGCTCCTCAGAGTCCCAGCAGGAGTCCAGTCCCTGTGCTCCTCAGAGTCCCAGCAGGAGTCCAGTCCCTGTGCTCCTCAGAGTCCCAGCAGGAGTCCAGTCCCTGTGCTCCTCAGAGTCCCAGCAGGAGTCCAGTCCCTGTGCTCCTCAGAGTCCCAGCAGGAGTCCAGTCCCTGTGCTCCTCAGAGTCCCAGCAGGAGTCCAGTCCCTGTGCTCCTCAGAGTCCCAGCAGGAGTCCAGTCCCTGTGCTCCTCAGAGTTGGTGTATTTGGCTCTAACATGTCACAGATGTATTTTGGTGCCAGGCCTTGGAGAGACTATAATCCTACTTCCTGGTTCTAGTCCGGACTCGAGCTTCTTTTGGTGGATTTCTTGGCGGTTCAGTTATATCCTGATGTTTTTTCCTGATTTATTCCATGCACATCTTTCATTGGTTTGATTCCCAAAAGCTTCCACTTCATCAGTTCTATTTCAGGAGTTTTGGTTCTTGAAAAGCAAGTACTTTCTTTGTTGCTTCTTTGTGTGCCAAGATTACACAATTAAATAAACATCCTCAATGGTTCCTTCTGGTGTCCTGGACTGTGGGTTTAATCTGTGGGTTTCTCTGAACTGCGATCGCCCTTTGCTGTGTGTGACCGTGACGTCAGGGGTGATTGGTGTCAGGTGACCTTTTGGTTTCCCGGGCAACGGGGTCCTAAATCCTAAGGCGCCGGTCATCTCCAGAGGCTGATTACCAAATAAAATCTTCCCACACACACGCGCCCGGTCAGTGACTTAGAAGGCAGTGGATCAACGCTGGTGAGGGTTTTAGTCCCATGATGTTGCAGATAACTTTGTTTAGCTAAGTCTGCATTCTTGTCATTGCTCAGACACGAGGTCTGCCAGAGCAGCCGTCGACGGTCAGCACTTAGAATGATTTTGAAATGACTGAACAGTGAATTCATCAGCACAGTGGGCTCAGATTAGTGAGTATCTGGTCTCACATGTGTCCTTATTAGGGCGTGTGTGAAGAGGGTTCTGGTCCTGGACCTCTCCCCCACAGACTTGGCCTCAGATAAGCTGCCTGCTCTGGAGACCCCTGGCTCTGGGCAGTAATCTGTGGCATGCACTGGAGATGTCAGAGGATTACCTCCACAAAATGACTCACTTCACTCCTGACCATATTTCAAAACTTGGATATTTATTGTGTGGTGTAGAGGTTTATCAGAGTAATAGCACTGACTTCTCATCAATAATTCTATATAAGGTGAAAGAATGACACGGGTCACAATTGTTCTTATTGTATCTGTGTTAAAACCATATGAATTTACAGAGCTGGAAATGTGTTCAATCCACATTTGTTTCACAACGTTCCTTAATGCATGGCCCTGTCCTGAAAAGGGAAAATCCTTTGGTCTAAGTCCTCAAATGTTCTGCTTCTGTGTGGTCTAAATACAGCTCTATCTGTTTCTCAAATTTATAGTGTGTCAAAAGGCACAAACAAGGTCATAAAGTGACTTTGTTGTGCCTCACTAAACATAGAGCAGCCCTTGGTTTTCCTAGTCCTGTCCAGGGGCAGTATTCAGCTCATGTTTACTCACACACTTTACTCACACACTTTACTCACACACTTTACTCACACACTTTACTCACACACTTTACTCACACACTTTACTCACACACTTTACTCACACACTTTACTCACTTTACATCCTGCACTTTGTCCTTTTCCCTCAGTGTTAATGATCTGGAGGAGACTTCACCCAAAATGTACGGATCCCCCAAACTCTCATCTCGCTGTGGAGAGACACACACACGCACACACATGTACACACGCACATGTACACACACACATGTATACACACACATGTACACACATGTACACACACACATGTATACACACGCACACATACATGAACACACACACATGCACACGCACACGCACACACATGTACACACACACTGCAGCAGCAGCAAACGCATCTTGTCGGCAGCATTTCTCTTCAGAACGCAGCCGTATTATACTTATATTGTTATATTCAAACTTTTGCTCACGCAACTATTAACACACGTCACTCAGCAACTGAGTGGCATTAGCACCAGTCCCAGTGGGATCTACTTCTGTGTCCATCCACTGCCCAGAGACCCCCCCCTCCCCTCTCCTCCCCTCTCCTCCCCTCTCCTCCCCTCTCCTCCCCTCTCCTCCCTCTCCTCCCCTCTCCCCCCTCCCCTCTCCCCCCTCCCCTCTCCCCCCTCCCCTCTCCTCCCCCTCCTCCCCCCTCCCTCTGGGTGTGTGTGGTTTCCGGTGCATTCCGTCTCTAAACTGTGCCGGTGTTGACTGTTCCTGCAGCGAGGTCACGTTTTTGTGACATGGATCTGAGTGAACCGTGAAAGGGAATAGAACCAACGTACACCTGCGCCAGACATGACGACTGTGTGTGTTTGTGTTACCGTCGACTGTTTCTAAATAAATATGAACCTGAAAGTGTTCGCTGTACAAAGACATGACTGTTTCTAAAGATGAAACTCTGAAGTTGTTTCCTGTTCGATGAATTCCTTTAATCCATTCATATTAATCCACTTCTTATTCTGTGTCATGATGTTTTTTATTATGTGCGATGTTATGTCAGTTCATTTGCATTTATTTGAATTTATTTTCAGTAACTCTTAATCGTTCTTTATTAATTGTACATTCATCGTAGGATTCCTTCGAGTGAAACAAAACAAAAGGAAACAAAAGGAGCACTCGAGGGAATCCTGCACAGACACAGAGAGAACATGCAAGTTCCATCTGGATGTCGAACCCAGGACCTTCTTGTTGAGAAATGGCAGCTCTGAACATTGCACGTTGACAGATGAATGGATGGATAGTTTAATCCACTAAAGCCGTGGGGCTGTGATGATATGTTGTGTTAACTGGACACAGTGTCATCCTCTTCTTTCTGCTGAATATCTGGTTATTGTTGTTATTGTTGTTGTTATTGTTATTGTTATTGTTGTTGTTATTGTGAACAAATGGATGTTTTTGATGATTTTGTTTATTTTCTGAACGATAAAAACTGAGTGGAACTTGAGCCGATTGACTGAAAACCACTCTGTTGAATCTCCTCAGACACACAACATGTGACTCAGACACACAACATTTGCCTCAGACACACATTTGCCTCAGACACACATTTGCCTCAGACACACATTTGACTCAGACACACATTTGCCTCAGACACACATTTGACTCAGACACACACAACATGTGACTCAGACACACAACATTTGCCTCAGACACACAACATTTGCCTCAGACACACATTTGCCTCAGACACACACATTTGCCTCAGACACACACATTTTCCTCAGACACACATTTGACTCAGACACACACATCAGACACACACATTTGCCTCAGACACACACATGCCTCAGACACACACATTTGCCTCAGACACACACATTTGCCTCAGACACACACATTTGCCTCAGACACACACATTTGCCTCAGACACACACATTTGCCTCACACACAACATTTGCCTCAGACACACAACATTTGCCTCAGACACACACATTTGCCTCAGACACACACATTTGCCTCAGACACACACATTTGCCTCAGACACACAAGATTTTCCTCAGACACACAACATTTGCCTCAGACACACAACATTTGCCTCAGACACACAACATTTGCCTCAGACACACAACATTTGCCTCAGACACACAACATTTGCCTCAGACACACAACATTTGCCAAACAAAGCTGGGTTTGAAGCCGGCGTTACATCTCCATGTTTCAATAGTTCTCTCTCCTGGTCCCTCTGCAGCTGTTACCCCCCCCCCCCCTCTCCCCCCCGCACTGTGGCTGTGGAGCAGTGAGTCTAGTGTGAGCTCGGGTGAAAGCCTCTAGTCTCTGTTCATATCACCGCCTCTGGTTTCCATCTGTGGTTCTCATGTTCCTCCGTTCACACTGGCGTTCTCAGTGGAACAGAAGATAGAACACATGTTTGTGACCAGTGTGGGAAAGTTTACACACCTCTCATTTGCTCCAAACTTCTTTATGGTTCTTTATGGTTCTTTATGGACCGGACCTCTCTCGTTCACTCAGTCTGGGTCTGAGGTCCAGATGGTCCAGAGTCAGTCTACCTCTGTCTGTATCACTTCACCTTCACTGTCTCTCACTCTCTCTCTCTCCCCCTCTCCCCCTCTCTCACACTCTCTCTCACACTCTCTCACACTCTCTCTCACTCTCTCACTCACACTCTCTCTCTCTCACTCACACTCTCTCACACTCTCTCTCACTCACACTCTCACTCACACTCTCTCTCACACTCTCTCACACTCTCTCTCACTCTCTCACTCACACTCTCTCACACTCTCTCTCACTCTCTCACTCACACTCTCTCACACTCTCTCTCACTCTCTCACTCACACTCTCTCACACTCTCTCTCACTCACACTCACACTCTCTCTCACACTTTCTCGCACTCTCACACTCTCTCTCACACTCTCTCACACTCTCTCTCACACTCTCTCACACTCTCTCACACTTTCTCGCACTCTCACACTCTCTCTCACTCTCTCACTCACACTCTCTCACACTCTCTCGCTCACACTCTCTCTCACTCTCTCTCACACTCTCTCACACTCTCTCACACTCTCTCACACTCTCTCACACTTTCTCGCACTCTCTCACTCTCTCTCACACTCTCTCGCTCACACTCTCTCTCACTCTCTCTCACACTCTCTCACACTCTCTCACACTCTCGCTCACACTCTCTCTCACTCTCTCTCACACTCTCTCACACTCTCTCACACTCTCTCACACTCTCTCACACTCTCTCACACTCTCTCACACTCACTCACACTCTCTCACACTTTCTCGCACTCTCACACTCTCTCTCACTCTCTCTCACTCTCTCTCACACTCTCTCACACTCTCTCGCTCACACTCTCTCTCACACTCTCTCTCACACTCTGTCACACTCTCTCACACTCTCTCACACTCACTCACACTCACTCACACTCTCTCACACTCTCTCACTCTCTCTCACACTCTCTCACACTCTCTCACACTCACTCACACTCTCTCACACTCTCTCGCTCACACTCTCTCTCACACTCTCTCTCACACTCTCTCTCACACTCTGTCACATTCTCTCACACTCTCTCACACTCACTCACACTCTCTCACACTCTCTCACTCTCTCTCACACTCACACTCTCTCACACTCTCCCCCTCTCTCACCATCTGTTCGCCGCTGCTCAGTGGCTCAGACAAACACCACCTCCTCAGAGACAAAGTGTTTTTACCAAGATCCAAGATTTCATTTGTAATGATAATGGTTGTACATGTCCATGGTCTACGCACAGAGCATGGACTCCAAACTCTTTCTAGTCTAGTTCTTTTTTCCATTTTTGCAAATATTTTTTAACCACATAACATTATTTTTAACTTTTGGTACTTTAAATTAACTGAATCTTCAATCTTCACAATCAATGACGATAATTTAGGTTTTTTTGCTTCCATCTTGTTTTTTAAGACCATCTATGTAAGACCATGAATGAATGTCAGAGATGCAGTCGGACCTGCTCTAAGAATGTGTGACATCACAGACTCAGGTTTCTGTCCCGTAAACTTTTGTAATAATCTGAAATCTCCATCTGTGAGCTGCACGTTTCTACACCCTCAGATTTACTACAATGAAACTGGATCAAACTAGGACTAAACCAGGGCTATACCAGGACTAAACCAGGGCTAAACCAGGAATAAACCAGGGCTAAACCAGGGCTAAACCAGGGCTAAACCAGGGCTAAACCAGGGCTATACCAGGGCTATACCAGGGCTATACCAGGGCTATACCAGGGCTATACCAGGGCTATACCAGGACTATACCAGGGCTATACCAGGGGTATACCAGGGCTATACCAGGGCTATACCAGGGCTATACCAGGGCTATACCAGGGCTATACCAGGGCTATACTAGGGCTATACTAGGGCTATACTAGGGCTATACCAGGGCTATACCAGGGGTATACCAGGGCTATACCAGGGCTATACCAGGGCTATACTAGGGCTATACTAGGGCTATACTAGGGCTATACCAGGGCTATACCAGGGCTAT